CGGGGGTTTTTTTTTTTTTTTTTTTTTTAAACCCTTTTGGGGGGGGGGGGGCCCCCCCCCCCCCCCCCCCCCCCCCCCCCTTCTCCCTCCTAACCCACCTCATGCCGAACCTTGCTCAGCTCGGCGTACCCAATCATGACGTCCCAGTTGTCAGTCTGACTTATTGATCTCACTCACCGGCGATGGTCTTCTCTGACAGCCAACGAGGTGCCTCAACTGCCCGTATCCAGCGCGCGTGCCCATGCCGTCATGCCGCACTCCAGCCCCTACTCGCCTGTCTGTGTAGTGGCCCGACACGCTGGAGTGGCCCGACTCCAGCGTGTCGGGACAGCGATGATCACCTCGTATAGTTGCAACGCTAACAGCCCTTCACGTCTGGGCACAACCGGCCGCCCGGCGCCCAAGTTGATCTATTCTCAACTCCTTGCGCCTCGCGATCATCAACACCACCTACCTCATGGACTCGGTCCGAGTCCTCAGCCCAATTCGCAGCCGGCTCAAACTCTTCCTCCGAGTGAGCACCTCAACCGAAGCAACGAGGATCAAGACAATCGATAGCCGTGGCTACACAGCATGTGGTGGGGCCTACAAGTGACCGATTCTGCAGGGGCCATTGTCACCGATTTTGATTCTTTCCCTCAAGAAGGATGCGCACACTCTTCAGCTCGCCGTAGACACTCCCCTGCTTTTTCGTTTCTTTTTGTGTGCCTGACGGACACGGGTGTGCTCCGTGAACAGGGATCGGCCGATGCTGACAGGTTCAGGTGGCCATGTCTGCTCTTCTCGTGGTCAAAGTACGCCGGCCCTTTCCGAGGTGGCCTCATCCGTTCAGGATCCATACTCATGGTCAGATGCGTCTCGCAGCCGTTGAGGGCTGGAATCCATCGGAAAGACACTCTGCCGCAGGCCTTGGCATGCTGTTTGATAGCTCAAGTGACATGCGGTTGGCGGCTCCAGTGACGCGCCACGCTTGTCCTGCAGCGGCAGCCCTAGGTGCTTGTGAGCGTTTGTCTTACCCAAGATCGTGCACGCACAGGCTTCCCCGGCAATGTTTATTCACCGAATCCCCAGAGGCGTGAAAGTTTTAGTCGGTGGCCAGGGATCAGGGGGTTCGGCATGTCTCAGGCCCCATGCCCTTTTCTTCTGGACTCGAGGTGAGCTCGAGTTGCAAGCGGTCTACGCCACGCCTGGCAAGGCTCAAGCGCTCACAGCTCTGCGGCAGAGCGGCCGAGAGACATACGAGCCTTGGTTGTTTCCAAAGTTCTGGGTGTCAGCTCGCGGAGAGATGTTCTCGTTGCAAGTGAGCGTTTGCCTATTTAAGATCGTTTCCCCAGACCGCAGACATGTAAGAATTTTACTCGTCTCATCAGCAGCATCACACATTCTCTTCGTCTCTCCTTGACTATGTCTCTCCGATTCATCTGCTTCGGCCTCGTGGCCTGCTGGGTCGCCGGCTTGACGTCGGCCATGCCCGCTACCGACCCGCCCCTCCAGCCCTTTGGAAAATATGGCTGTGGACAACACGGCCCTAAGAACCGTGCCTGCTGGCGCGATAATTTTGATATATTTACGGATACATCAACCAAGATTCCCGATACTGGGAAGACCAGGACGGTACGCGAAAGGAGACCTCAGCGTCCCATGCGTGAAGCTGACGCTGCTTGCAGTACGACTTGACCATCACCAATGTATCAAGCTTCTCCTCGGCCGACGGTGTCAGCAAGCCTGCCATGCTGATCAACGGCCAGTTTCCTGGTCCGACGATTGTTGCCGGTGAGACAAGTTCCACTCTCACCCTGTCGATCTGACCCTGACGCAAATAAACAGATTGGGGTGACTGGGTCAAGGTCAACGTCCACAACCAGCTGCAGCATAACGGGTATGTTCCTTGCATGCAATCGGCGCTCTCGGGTACCGTCGAGACTGACTGAAGCGTCCAGCACTTCCATTCACTGGCACGGCATCTGGCAGAAGAACACAAACGACCAGGATGGCGCCAATGGGGCCACCGAATGTCCCATCCCACCGGGTGCGAGCAAGACGTACCTATTCCGCATGCACCAGTATGGTACGGCCTGGTATCATTCCCACTTTTCGGCGCAGTATGGCAATGGCGTCGTGGGCACCATCCAGGTCAACGGACCGGCGTCTGCCAACTACGACGTTGACCTCGGCCCATTCTCAATCACGGACTGGTATTACGAGACGGCGGACAGGCTCGAGCGGCGCGCAGAGCTGGTCTCCAACGGCCCGCCGCCCGACAGCGACAACATACTGTTCAACGGCACCCATGTCAATGCCCAAGGTGGTGGTAAGTACTCGAGGACGACGCTTCAGCCTGGTAAGAAGCACCGCCTACGTCTCATCAACACGTCGTTGGACAATGCCTTTACCGTCTCCATGGTAGGACACACGTTTACCGTCATTGCAACCGACTTGGTTCCGGTGGTCCCGGTGAAGAAGGACACGCTCTTCATGACGGTCGGCCAGCGATACGATGTCATTATCGAAGCGAACCAAAAGGTGGAAAACTACTGGTTCAACGCGACGCTGGCAAGCAGCAGGTTCTGCGGCACGACGCGCATCAAGCAGCCCGCGGCCATCTTCAGCTATGCTGGCGCGTCCAAGACAAAGAAGCCAACCAACCCAGGCACGCCTGTGAATGCAGTCTGCAGCGACACGGTGGGCTTCAGCCCGGTTGTCAAAAAGGGAGCACCCAAGAAAGAGTTCCTGAAGAGCCAGGGCTACCTTGATGTCAACCTCGAGACACCCGTCATTGACGACGTTGCCGTGTTCCGGTGGGAGGTCAACGGCTCCAGCATCAACGTTGAGTGGGACAGGCCCATCCTCGAGTACATCCGCGAGGGCGACTTTGACTGGCCGCGGGAAGCCAACGTCATCGACATTGCGCAGAAGAACGTCTGGACGTTCTGGGTCCTTGAGAACCTTGGACCGGTCCCACACCCGATGCACCTTCACGGGCACGACTTTCTCGTTCTCGGCGCGGGCGACAGCCAGTTTGATCGCGTGGCGGGGGTCAACTCGCTCAATTTTGACAATCCCATACGGCGGGGATGTGGCGGAGCTGCCGGGGCGGCGGACATCTCGTCATCGCGTTCCCAGACAGACAACCCGGGGAGCGCACCTGCTGCACTGTCACATCGCTTGGCACGTGTCTCGCGGGCTCACCGTCATGTTCCTCGAGAGAAAGGGGCGACATTCCCAAGACGGTCAACCTCGGACAACCTGGAGCCGAATTGCGAGGAAGTGGCGCGGCCTATGAGCCGGACGGCAGTCCTGGCC